CCCGGTCCCTGGTTGAGTTGGGTGGCTGAAGAAACTGCATGCATGAACCAACCACCTTTCCGCACATTCGGACCGGGTGTCGCGCACAGCCGCGCTTGAAAGCAGCAGCGGCCCCGGCTCGGCTCCAGGAGCTCTGGAGGTGGGCAGCCCTCCCTCTGCCCCCAGCCGACCTTATTCGGGGGGGCGGGAAGGGAAGGAGGGACCTCGAGCTCCCTACGGTGCAAGCCCGTCCCTGCAGAAGAGCCGGCTTGGATCCGCGGGGGACGCTCCTTCCCGGGCCCCCCGCGTCCCAACGTTCCCTTGGCCGAAGGGGAGCCACGCGCAGCCCCTCACGGCGCCCAGGCTGCAGAGCGCAGGCGCGATCCACGGCCCAGGCCGTCCTCCCCAGCCGAGCGGCTCCGGCCCGCGCCCGCCTGCTCCCCCGGCGCCTCCGCCGTCCGTCAGCCGGGGCCGCCTCGCGATGCCCGAGCGCGGCGCTTCCCGAGAGCTTCTCCCTGGCGAAGAAGGGCGCCGCTCCCCCGAGGAAGAGCCCGCGCCGCCCCCCGCTCGGCTCCCAGGCGGCGGCCGGGATAGCGGCGGTGGCGGCGACTTATTTATTTATTTTTTTTATTTATTTGATTTGCCAATTGTTTACAAGATAATAAGTATAAATGTATACATAGTTGTGAATACATGAAATGGGTACATATAAGAAAAATAAAAGAATAGGAGAATAAAATAAAATAAAAATAAAAGAATAGATAAAAGAATAAATAAAATAAAAATAAAAGAATAGACTCCTCCCATCTCGCCCCGCGCGCGCCTCCTCCCCGCCGGCTGCCGCCCGGGCCCCGCCTGGTCAGCTGGGCGGCCGGCCGGGAAAGCGGCGAGCGGGCGGACGGGACCGGCCTGGCCTCTAACGGTCCGTCCGGCAATTGCGGCGGCGAGCGGTAAGGGAAGCGGGCGCTGCTCTCCGCGGAGGCATCTCTGCCTCCTTCCTCCGAGAGGCGGCTCGGGGCCGGGCAGCCTCCCTCGCCGCCCACGCGGAGCCTCTGCCTGCGGGGAGCTCGCGGAAGAGGCCTTCCGGCCGGGGGCCGAGCGACGGGGCTGGCCGGGGCCGGCAGGGTGCAGCGCCGCGACGGGGCGGGTGCGCGGGAAGAGGGAGCCGGCCTGGTTCCTTGAAGGCGGCCGCCTCCCGGCTTCCCTGGAGATCCGCCTCCAGTTGGGGCCTCTCCTGGCCCTTCGTCCCTCGCCCTCCTTCGCCTGCCTGCCTGCCTTGCGCAGCCGCTTGGAAGGCCTCGTGGGGAGAGCGCGCTTGGCCTCCCGCCTTTGCTCCCCGTGGGGACGGGCTCCGTTGCTGCCTCCTCCTGTCCCACGTTTGGCAGCTCCTTAAATCCCTTGTGTTGGCTTTGTCGTCCCAGAAGCTGAAGAAGCTCCTGGGATGAGAAGCGAAAGGTCATCAAAGAAAAAACCAGAAAGTCCAGTTGCCTCTTGGGGGGAAAAAGCACCTTTGGGGCAACCCTGACACCTGGATGAGGGAGGTGCTCCTCCGTGGCCGGAGGGGATTCTGCTGGGACTTGGGGCAAAAACTGACAGGCGTTGGGTGTCATTCTTGGAAGGAAGACCCGGGATTTGTGAGGTTGTTGTCTTGAAACTTGATCTGGAGGAGAGGCAACTTCAGCAAATACTTGCCTGGTCAGACAATTGTCCAAGAACTGACCTTGGGGGACGCAGGGAGGAGATGCTGCCTAGGAAGCCCTCAGAGAAGTGTCCCCAGGGGCTCAGGCCAGAGGAGAAGCTCAGGAAGGACCTGCCCTGGGGGTTAAAAAGAGACTTGACCCTTCGGGCTGTTTATATTTTTATTTGTCCATTGCTTACAAGATAACAGGTATAAGTAAAAACATAGTTATGAATACATGGATACATATAAGAAAAATAAAATATATCTATAAAAGAAACAATAGGACAGGGACGGTAGGCACGATGGTGCGCTGATGGACGCCCCCTACAGACCTCTTAGGAAAGGGGTGAGGTCAGTAGTAGACAGTCTAAGGTTAAAGTTTTTGGGGTTTGGGGAAGAAACCACAGAGTCAGGTAGAGCATTCCAGAGACTGACCCCTCTGTTGCTAAGTTAGGTTGCTGTGTTAGGATAGCCTTACAAAAGTCAAATTCATCTAGTCCTGGAAGGGCTAGACCCTGACTTACCGTTTTCTTTTTCTCCTGCTTCTCTTCTAGGAGGTGCCTTTGGATGGTTCCAGCTGGAGGCCTTGGGCTATAGCTGGGTCCCCCCCCCCCCGCCCCTCCCCCCCTCCCCTCCCTTCTCCTCTCTTCCCCCTCCCCCCTCTTAAGGGTCTCCCTTCTGCACTCACTAATGACTGCGTGGATCATCCTCCCTATCAGCCTCTCTATCTTCTCAATCACTGGAATATGGATTGTGTAAGAGCTGTTGTGAATTGTGGCT